CAACCGCAAAATGGAAGTAGTGCTCGTGCGAAAGTCGCCGGTAATGGAAAAACGTGACGAATCCTCTACGCGGTTATACCGGCACGATACGGATGGGTCCTCTTCGCAAACGCCACGGTTGGCAGGACATGCATGTACGAATGTACTCGTGTAAACGTCACCCCGCTGGGTCAACAGCTGGGTTGGCTGATCGATATCTATTTTCGGTTGCGAACGAAAAGACACGCGAGCCAGGTATTTAACGTCACGCAGTTACGGCACGATGAAGATTGTAAAATACAGAAGTAAGTGCAAAGTAAAAAAAAAAGAAAAGAAATGCAAAAAATTAACTAGAATCAACCGACATCTTTACATTTGAGAAGTCAAGTTTCATTAAACCAGAAAGAAACAATAAGCTTCCATCGCTGTTTCCTATTAACGCTATTCTTTGATCTCGTTCGTTGAAAAAACGTAATTCAGTTTTTATCGCTTGGTTGAAACAACGTATTCGTATTTGCATCGATCAATTTTCTGGAACATAATGGAAATCCGATATTATCATTATCCACCCGTGTCTTTTGTAACGTAAAACATAACAATATGTTATGTCAACACCCCTAGAGAGAACGTAGAAGTGAGAGAGAGGAGGAAGAGAGAGAGAGAGAGAGAAAGCTCGCTTTCCTATTTATTAATTCATTCGCTGGTTATCCTGTCTCTCATAGCCGCGCAGCATATCTGCTAATGTCGTCAAATGACATCGAATGAGTGACATAACGTTCCGACCCGACGTCAGAAACAGCCTTAATTTAGCATTCGATCGTTCAGACGCTTGCCATAACGCAAAGGGCGACTGCGTCATGAGTTAGGGGTGGAAATTTGCGACATTTAACTCCCGGCGAATTTCTACAACAAATTATAATTGCCCGCAAATCCTTCCGCATCGACATTATGCATTACTCATTAACGCAATACTGTTTAATTAAAACCACATTTTTGAGAACTGTTTGTCGTATAATAATCTATAATTAAAATAATTATACCGCTGCTTCTTTTGTTAACATTACAGTGCCATTTCAATTAGACATTGTTGCAGTTCTATTATATATATATATATATTCAAGATTTATAAAACCGTAAAAAATAACTTTGTGTTATTCATTCAATTATTTATTTAAATTTGATTCTCAAAACTTTACGGTCGATGGGAATAAAACCAGTTTTATGATGAATGTTAATTAACGATAACAGATGCTGCTACTTCGCCGTAGAGTTTCCAAGAAAATTCTCTTTGTGAGCTTTAGAAGTCATGTTCAATATCGGAAACTTCAATGGACGCGCACAGAGCGACACGCGGAAGCGAAACTCGCTAACGTACTTTTGAAGATTGTTAAAAAGATTCTCTCTTTTTGTGTGTGCGGAAGATAGTTTTGGATAATGGAACTTGTGTATGTCGAGTAACACGCGCTTCTTTCTTTCCGAGACCGATATAAAAATAACCTTTGACCTTATCTGAGATAATTAAAATTGATCGGTCTACGCAAGGATATAGAGCAACTGCAACAACAACACGAATCTATTATGCAGCCTCGGTCGCTTGACTTTTGATCTCTCACATCCCTCTTCAATTCTCAACCCACTCGCACGCATCCACCTGGCTGTCATTGACTTCGCCGCGTCCTTTCAAGCAATTTTCAGCGAAACAAAAATAGAAGAACGAGATAATCTTTGATTTATTCGCGGCATTAATCTCACCAGATTTTTTTTACATTTTTTACAGAAAACAAAAAAATGTTTTTAAATTTTTAATCAGAAGAAATTGATAAAGATTCTATAGAAATTTTAGTAATTTTTAATAAAAAGTTTGAAAATTATGCAGTCACTTTGCAATCTTCTTCGTTTTGCTTCGATGAGATATAAAGTAAAAGAGAATGAAACTTTAATGCGGCATTCAGTATGAAATATTTGAGGCTCGGTGTCATCATACGTTAGTATTAACTCTCACCTACTGTGTAGCGAGGCAAAATCTGACCTCGGGTACTTGGAAAATTATAGTTTCACCAAAGACAAACAAACGTGAACAAAGCTGGAGTGTTACTTAAGCAATCTCGAAATTTTCTATTTAAATATGACCAGCGAAGTTCGACTACAACACCGTCGAAATCCCAGTCGTGGCCGATTATCCTCGCGGAACCCGACGTCCGCCATGCGTGCCGAGCGGCATCATTAAAGCGACGTCAAGTGCCGGCAAACGATCGCAATCCCTCGAGATCAGCGAACGAAGACGGAAGAAAGCACACGGGGGAGGGTGTGTGTGCGATGTCTTCTGGAAAACTGAGCACGCTATACTCACGGCCAAGTTGCTGTTCGCGGCACAGGGTCTCGCAGCCTCACTCTCGCGCGATCGGCTAGTCGCGGCGAATCTTCTCTCGGGAGTTTGCGATCCGCCGGTTGACAAACACTGGCCGTAAGGGGTAGGGGGGGGGGAAAGATGGGAGAGTGGAACGAGCACAAGCACGTTCGAGAACCCCTTCGGTGCGGGCGGACAGGCGGGCAACCCGCAAGTCGCCTCGCACAGGTGAGGCAGATATCGACCTGACGCCAGAAATACCGCGCAGCATCGACCGTCGTCGTCGTTATACCTGGTCTCGCTCCCCCTCGCCTGTCCGCCCTCCGTCGCCCGCTCATCCCCCTGGAGGATACGGCGGGAGGGTGCCGCCGCGTACGGCCGATGGTGGAGGGTTCGGGGGCTGACGCACGGCCTCGCCGCCGCCAATCCCTGGGTCCTGGTGGCCGCGGCTGCGCCCTGATGCGGCCTTCCGCGACAAAACCCGCCGCCGCCGACGCCGCCACGACGGCGAGAGAGGGCGCAGCGGCGACCCGGTGGCGGGGAGGACTCCGAGGGCAGACGTTCCAAAGCCACCCCGACGGAGAGACACGCCGAGACGCCCCTGGCCATTGGGAGCCCTTCGATCTTAGTAAGTATCCTCGACATCTCGTTCCATGCTCCCGTTTCCGTCTCCATTCGCTCGCTTGTCCTTGCCCTTCGTCCTCTTCGTATCCGGGGGATGCACGAGGTGCGGATGTGTGTTCACGCGAAATTTTCCGCCGGGGCTGCTAGTGCGCGACTTTCGGGGTCGTTCCGCAGGAATCGGTAGTTTGCGACATGACAATTCAAGCTAGAAGACTGTGTGTCGATCGATGTTCCTTCCATTTTTGACGTTTGTTGAACGGCTATAGGCTCTGGCTTTGCGTCCTCGAAAGTTGACTCGTTTGAAAAGATTTATGCTAGAGCGATGATAATCGTTGCGTCATATTGTGTCTCCGGTGCAGATTTGTTTCCAGCCTGGCTTAAGCAGGTATAAAATGTTATGTAAATGCAGAGATTGTGATTCTCATATAATGAGATTTGTTCGAGCTCTCCAGATGCTAGCGGAATTCACGGTTTATGATTTCGTTATGGTCAGCTACCTTATGATGTTCTTGCACAATCGATTTCACGCTTTTCTCCAACTTGCTTTGTTCGAGTGACATCGAGAGGAATGGATTAGACAGTTAGCGTACATATTTGTCGGTATATAGATTTGCACAAGTCATGTCACATTTGCAACGCAATTGTTTATTCTACAATTTCGCTATCATTATTTCCGCCTGTTTCGATTTCTTGAGATGAAGCTGTTACACTTTGTTAGATTTTAACGCAATGTACAACTTTATTTGGAAGTTGAGAAAGTAACTTTAGTAGCACTATACCGCCACTAGTTTCGCCTCTGATTTGTGTCTACCGCTGCTCGCAGTTTGCAACGATGACGACACCGCTTGCAACGCGATATATCTTATTTTGTCAGGATCGATAAAAGAATAAAGTTGCACCTACAAATTTTCACTTCCCTCTTCGTCGCAAGAAATAATTCCATCGCAATTTTGCGGAATAATATTTTGGCAAAAAGCGGCGGGAAAATAATGAGAATTTAGATCTAAAAGATAATTTTTTTGCATTGACTAAAATTCCACGACGGAATGCTGCTCGCGGTAACGTTGCGTAATGAGGTTCTGGGAAAATCCTAGAGTTCCGGTTGAAATTCGCGATTACGAGAGTAACGCGGGTAATAAGAGATATTGCCGCATCTCCGGCAAACAAACGGTGGACGAAATAACACGTGGCTGTCAAATAACTATATTGCGGCAAAGGGGGGAATAAAAATTACCTTGGGAAGTTACGCACGTGTGTAATACCTGGTCTTCCTCAAATGCATAGGTATAGGTAGTCGTATGTTATATATAAACGTAGAAACGCTAAATTTAAACTCGCCCATAACGCGTACATAATGGTAACGCGTACATAAGATAATAGAAAGGTTAGTAAAAATTGTGTCGAGACCGTATATATACACGAGAAGATGTAAATATGTAGAGTATACAAACGTTACACAATGCACCGCGTGTGCGATTGCGCGGGTTAAAAATATGATGATGAATTTTAACTCGAAGGTCAACGGACTCTGTCCCACCCTCGAATGACGTATCAATTCCTTCGCGAAGGGGAGGATTAACTAAGTATCTCTGTCGTACATTCTATTATTAATCTCTCCACAGAAATCGGTAAACACTGTTCTATAATATCACTTCATCAGATTTTTATGGTAAACAGAAACTATCTAAATAGATATTGCATCACTTTGTTCCACGAACCATAATTCCTATTCCTTCATTTAGTTAGCAACGCTACACTGAAAATCCACCAGAGATAATACTATTTTAAGCGCGCCAGATTTATAATTTGCGATTTGGGATTGCGAGAATTGCCCAATTTTATCCGCAATCTTTTCTCGCGAGATCTTTTCATGCCCCCAAAATAATGAACGGATTTATCGTTGCAAAATTTAACCGGTCAAAAAATATATCGATGTTGCAGATTCGGTTGTAACACTCGGCTGAAAAGGTGGAGGGCCCGGGGACGCGAGGAGCCAAGGAGTCGGTGAACGACTCGAAGGACGAAGACGGATCGGACGTCGCTTCGACTCTGAGCGGCTTGCTCGCCGGTCTTCCGACCTTGGCGGGCCCCCAACGCCTTGCCAATTCCCTCAGGCAGAAGTTCGCCAGCAACTCCGGTGAGTCAGTGATTTTCTCTCTTTGCGTCCGTCCGAGTTTATCCGTTTATCGATTACGTTGCGCCATTAATGAGTCACGTCGATAACGACGATGACGATCGATGAGGCGCCGTTTCGTAAATGCGAGAAAAGCACGCGAGAATTATTGTTCCGAGCAATCGTTTCATATTTTGATGATGATCAGTAATAATTATAATTTACGGTTGACCGGAGCACACTTTCTAACTTTTATATGAAGTTTTGATAAATCGAAATAATAACAGGATAAATGAGAAAGGTCTCCGATACGCTGCTAAGATTATAGGTGGATTTTTAATCCAAATGGCTGAACTGTCGAGTCGCTGTGAAAAAGTTAATAAGTGCACTTTATATTAATTGCACTTGCCAACTTTTTCCGTCAGCTTACAAGATATAACTTTAGTTACTTTCTATTGCCCCCTAAGCTCTTTTGAAAAATACTCATTATTTTGTTACACTTCAAAAGAACATTTTGTAATGACCGCCATTTTTCCTATTTTTGCGCTTATTCTTTTGGTAATTTAAAACGGAGAAAGCAACCACAAAAGGGATTTAAAGCGGATAATATATAAATGCGAGAAAAATGCTCACCGTAGCGCAATTTTTTTCACACAATAAATACTTTAGATTAACTCCTATAATTTAAACGAATATAACAATAAATTTCAGCATTTGCTTTAATAAAAAATTAAAATAATAAAGATAATTAAGTAATTAAATTTTCAAGCGCAATGATTTTTAATCGTACTTTAAAAACGCTCTCTTTGAATTTTTATCTTCTTATTTCTAATAAAA